TATTTATATACATGATAAAGGATCTTTTATATTATTCTTTATATTATTCTGTATATGATAACACACCTGTCATATACTTTTGGATTATTCTACAAAAAGCCAAGTTTGTAGATGTCGTTCATAGTGTTTTTAGTACTTCTTGGATAATTATAATTATTCATTAATTATCTATTATCGTATACAACAGTAGATAATAATTATTTAGTGCCATCATACTTAAATTTTTATCGTTAAATTAAAAATTTAAATATGCTGGTGAGAAATGTAGTTTATTACATTAAAATTTCTGTATAATTTGAATTTTATATACTGGACCTGTATGTTCAATATTTTGAAAAAAGGCAAAATTTGTCATTTTTTCATTAATAGGCAATTGTTTTTATTTTTCTTTTGAAATTATTAAATTTTTGATTTGAACTAATAGAAAAATAAAATATATTGATTAGAAATGTTAGTTATTTCAATTTCAGATTTCTAAAAACTAATATTTGAGTATTAATTCAGAGATCAATGCTACTAAATTACTACTATTATAATAGTTGACAAGAGAGTAGATCAGAGAATGAGTGTAGCAGAGATGAGAATGCTTAGATGGACGAGTGGAGTGACTAGAGAAGATATGATAAGGAACGAGCATATAAGAGGAAGTATAGGTGTACCATCAATCGTGGATATGATGAGAGAAAATATACTTCGATGGTTTGGTCATGTTATGAGGAGAGATGAATCGGAATCTGTAAGAACTCTGTAGCAATGAATGATGAAGGAAGAAGAAAACCAAAAGAGAGATGGAGGGATGTTATTGAATGCGATATGAAGAAGGTTGACATGAGAATAGATGATAGGAGAGATCGTGTCAAGTGGAAGTTTAGGATAAGGGCGGCTGACTCCAAGTAGTTGGGATTAAGGGGAGGAAAAAGAAAAAAAAGATATAAAAATAGATGTAACTACTTAAGTAAATTATTCTTCTTTAATTTTTCCATAGATTATTAAAATTATAATAATACTTACTATTTTAATATTATATAACGTAGTGTCAGGGTCGTAGCAATTGTTAAATTTTATATTTATCAGTTCATTGCCGTTATCAGTGATTGCTGTTAACTGTTAATTTTTTTTAAAAATAAAACAATTTCATAATATTTATTTAAAAAATGAAAAAGAGCACAAAAAAAAATGCACGATTTAGTGGGATTTATATAACATTCTCGGTTGTTACATGGAAACTTATGTTGATAATTTTTGTCTACCTATGATTAATATGAAAAAACCTAGCACAGTGGTGACATGATAGTTAGGTCCAGTATAAATGATATCTAACAGTGATTAAAATCACTATTATAAAAAACGCTTCGATACAAATTTGTAGATAGTCTTTAATTATAAGAAATTGATTGATTATTTGAAGAGCAAAATTAACACCTATTTCTATTATTATTCCTAATTAGTAGTTGATTTATAAGTATAAATTTTGAGTAAATATCTATTAAAGCAATTCAACGTAGTATGATATTGATATTTAATAATTTAGTATTGTAAATTTTTCGGAGAATTTATAAAAAATTATAAAGTAGTTATTACTTTTATGTCAAACGTGTATCAAAATTATAGACAACTTTTTAAATAATAATTTGATGTTAATTATGAATAAATAGTCTGCAAAAAATTTTCATCAGAGTAAAAAAGATACTTTAAAAGTATTTCAGATCAAAAAAATTGTTTTTAAATTATTACAGATTTTGATTTTTAATATGTTAAAAAAAATTAGTGAAAAATATCATTTTTCTATATTTTTTGGTCTTTTAAAGTTAATTTTTTGAAAGTTTATAAAAAAAATAAATGAATTTGTTACCATAACTTTAAGCTCAACTCCAAGTTTGATATTTACATTATTAAATACAAATTTTTATGTGAATAAAAAAATAGTATTGTTAAGATTAATATGCAGTCAGGAAATTGTATAATTACTATTTACTGTAAATTTATCAGAAAATCTCAATATTTGTTTTGTATTTTTATTGTATTAGATAACTTAAATAGAAATCATTGTAATCATTTCTAAGTAATATTTAGTGATTAAAAATATTCTACAATTGAAATATTCAGAACATAATTAATTCTGATGATTTACAGTAACTAAAATAACCAATTAAAATTTTGTTAAAAAAATCTACTCGATTGAATGTATTAGTTGTGATCTTTTGATGTATCGTTAAAAAAAGTTGGTCAAGTGAGAGCTGAGAAAATAAATGAGAGCCATAAAAAAAATCACATAATAAATAAACTTTAATATGAATAAGAAATTGCTTCAAACGAGGGGGACTACAGTGATGGAGTTCGTGATATTTATTAAAGTAATTAAATTTAAATGAGATAAAAATCAAATGATTTAAACATTCTTTCCTAACTCAAAAACTTTTATAAGGTATTTTAAAATAAAATAAAATACAAAATCCTTTCTTACTAGCTAACCACAAGATAACTAAGGTAATNTAATATTAATATTAATATTAATATTTAATAACATTCACATGACACATCTTCACAGTGGTCCTCAGACTTTATTAGCAGAGGTTCATCAGGAATATTGGCCAATCAGAGGAAAAGCGCAGTTTGAGCGGTTGTATCACAATGCATAGCATGTTTACCTGCAAAACCAAAATTCTAGTACCCACTTATGGCTCTATTACCAAGTGTATCCTACAAGACTATTTGCCGTGAGTGGAGTAGATTTTGCCGTTCCATTAATAATATGCAGTGGTGTACGAGGTTGGACTGGTAAGAAGGTGTGGGTGGTGTTGTTTATATGCCTTGTTACAAAGGCAGTGCATATTGATGTCGCGGAAGAACTAACAAGTAGTGCATTCGTCGATGCACTAAGAAGATTTTGTTCCAATAGAGGGAAACCTACGACCATATGAAGCGAAAACAGCACGAACTTTGTTGGAGTGAATCGCGAACTCATCATACACGAAGAACATAAAAGCTCAAATGGGCAATGAAGGAATTGAATGGAGATTTAACCCACCAGCTAGTCCATATTTTGGATGACATTTTTTAATAGGTGGTCCAATTATGTTATCTCTTATATATAATGTAATATTAATAACCTCAAACGTTGGCAGTTGGTCCAAGGGTTAATGCAGTGCTTCTGGATAAGGTGGACCAAGGAATATATTCCAAAGATTCAGATTCAGGGAAAATGGACTCAAATACTAGGAACATTAATTGAATGACATTGTTATATTGAAGGAAGATATTATAGCACCGACTAAATGGAAAATTGGGAGAGTCATCAAATTACATCCAGGAGCCGACGGAATCGTTCGGTTGTTACGCTTAAAACTGTCACCAAAGAAGAGATAAAGCGATTGGTAGTAAAACTTTGAGTGTTGCCCACAGAAGAAGATTCAGTAGAGGTTGAAACTTGAGTTTCAACAGGGGGAGGATGTTGAAGAAGCATAGACTATTATCACAGTTTATAACTTGCCAATGATACTGAATCCCTCCTATCATACACACAAGGGTCACGACGTTACTTAACCATTACCACAATTGATAACGGTTCTAGTTACGTTAACAATCGGCTGGCTACCTGTTACGCGCAACATATCACCCGTAGATTTTAAGTTCAGTGTATGTTTATAATGAGTTCGGTATATATGTGTATTTAGGTGCTGTAGCAGCTGACCAGTGCACATACATATCAACATTTCTGTCAGTTTCTTTTAATAATTTTTATTTTCATTTATTTTGAGTATTTTTTTCTAACAATAAGGCTAAGGGAATACATACAAGTCAGCTGAGTCCTGATATTAGAGTTTAAATATATATTATTTATTAGTAATTGAGTTTGAGTGAGCAACTAGTCATCCAGAGAGAGTAATCTAGCCAAATACTATTGTAGTCAATTTTTTAAATCTGCAGCTACCAAATTAGTAGAGAAATTATTATAAACACTTATTGAGTTATTTAATTAATTTTATTATTTATTTACCGAGAGATTTTAATTTATATAGTACAGAGTTTATATTTATTTGTTGAATTTTAACACTATATATTGTTGTTATTTCTGTTATATTTTTATACGTATATATTTTATTTTACATATTATTACCCTTATTTACTGTGCTAAAGAGGCAATCGATTTATCTACATTTGTATTCGTAGTTAGTTATCAATTTAATATTATTGATTGTTGTTTTTTTTTATTAATACATTTGTGATAACTGCAATTGAGTAGTTCATTATTATTTAATTTAAGAGCATACACAAAACATATATACACACTTACACACTCAATCACTACATAGATCGCTGGTTTTGGCAATATTTTAATAAGAGGATCACGTATATTACGTCATATAATTATTTTTTCACCTACTTAGAAATATAACTATGCTTTACTGCAGTATATTTCATTACTTAAAAACTGGTAGCGGTTATCGATTTACAAACCCATAACGTTTGCGTTTCTTATGATCATGAATCATAAAAATGTATATTAAATCAGATCTATCGATGAAAAAGAATAAGATTGTCTATTGGAAATCTGAAATTGATACAAGTTTTAAGTATAAGGTACATAAAAATAATCAATTTAACATATTGTTTAAAAAACTAAAAAAAATCAACTGCTGCGCTTGCTTAATATAATATTATTAAAATGATATAAACGTGCAAGGTACTACAATTTATATTTTATATATAAAAAATCAAAATGAAATAGAGCAATTCGTTTTACTTTCTACGTGTTTTAGCAATGATAATGACTGTAATGTTATCGCTTCATTGATTTGAAGAAAAGTCGTCTATTGTATTGTATTGTATTGTATTTTATTTTTTTTTTGAGAAATATTTAGTTTGATCAGTTAGAAATGACCTTGGTGAAAGTATGAAAAAAAAAAACAATTTAATTATAAAAAAGAGTTATTTATGTTGTTATACCAAGGGGAGAAAAAGATTATAGGCGAGAAATGTTTGGCGATATAATCACCCGAGCTTCACTTCTGGTACTCAATTAAAATTTTTATAATTGTTAATATAAATATTATATTAAATATTTTCATGTGTACAACCAATAAATAATTATGTGTTTCACCATAAATGTTTTTGTTTTAATAATATTTGAAAGATTTATTAAGTAATATAAATATAATTAATTATAAAACATAAATGTAAAAACAAATTAATTTTTTTTACTACATTTAATGAGTTTATATTTGTACTGGCGTTGGACGTTCTTCATCTATTGCTTTAAATTCCAAATCTAGATCCATAAAAAAATGTATAAAACTATAAATTAATATTTTAATTAGTATTTTTTAATTTAAATACCTAGGTCAATTGGCTCCTCTGGTGTTGGTAAAAACGTTTCTTCAGTAATTGGATCAAATTTAAATCCCAGATGACAATACTTTTCTAATATTACTGTTTTGATGTAATCTTTAATTTTTATGGTTAAGAATTTTAAAAATATTAATTTTACTCTCTGGTTATTAATGGCTCTATATGCTTGAACCCATTCATCCCATAAATAATTTGTATTAGAAGGTACAAATTCACAAAATAAACCAGTTTCAACTTGTAAAAGTTCTATTATACTTTTAAAAAATTTATATACAATTTCATGTGTCAAAGAGTTTGTAGATGTATCATCACATGATAGACTCGGATCATTCAATTCGTCAAGAATATATCCTATTCTATCGAATAAAAGTCTTATCATGTAGGGTTTATTGCGAAACATTTTAAAATTAGCCCATGGAAAATGATGTAATAAATCTAAAGCGTCCAATGCGCCTTTTAACAATATTGCTATTGGAACAATTAATTTGGCTATTATGTTTATGAGTTCTTTAGTATAAATGCATTCATTCTTTAAGTCGTCGTCTTCTTTATTTTGGTTTTTACAAATTTCTTGCCATTTGATAATAATTGAAAAAATATTAATCATAACTTTTGCATATGTGCAACCGAGGTATATAGTCAAGGCTCGAATTTTTTGCTCACCTTTATAATAATGTGTAGGTGTTTCAATCAGATTTTTAACATATTGTATTTTTTTACAAAATTTTATAGAACTTACATCATTTAAATTTTTCCATCCCGGATACTTAAGTAAGTTATCTAATTGTTTAATTGTACTTTCTGGAGAATTATGTGCTTTTATATATAAAATCACATAAAGTAATAAAAATATAAACATGAAAAGTTTTAAGGAAAACATTTTGAAAATAATAAATAATATTTATCAATGAATTTTTTTTAACAAAATATAATTCGATGAAGCTTCAAATTACACGTATTTATTCTGTTCTATTTTAACAAATAATAAGTATAACATTTTTGATATAACATCTGTGGTATAGTAATAATTTTCTTTATATAAAATTTTTGTCACCTACAATTTTCGTATGCGACTTAAAATAAGTTTTCGTTCGGCTTAATTAAATAAATGAAAAGTGAGCACTTGAGTCACTTAATAAAACGCTATAAAGTTGAAAAAATAAAATATAAAATTAGAAATTTTAATACTGAAATAGCATGATTTTAACTACGGCAGTAATTTGTGCTTAGAAAAATTTTCATTGTGATAACTATAGCTTGGATGGGAAGCTGAGAAACAATTAATATTACTATGATGAGTTTTTTTAATGTCTGTCACCACTCTTTCTCAGCTCTCGCCGAACCGAATTCTTTCAACATGACGTCAATAGTTCTCAAATCATATCTAGTTGAAGACATTGTCCTTAAAAATTAAAAATTTTTTTCTCTTTCTCTGTAAATGGAGGAAAACTTCAAAAAAATTACGATTTTTACAATCGGCAAATTTTGACAATTGTTTAACTTATTTAAAACTGCTATAAATTTTTAAAAATTAACGAAACATATAATTTTTTTATATTAAAATAGTAATATTTTAAGATAAAAAACGATAGCACAGTAGGGTCATGGCACAGTGTGGGCGTGGAATAGTCGGGACAACTATAGATGATATCTGACAGTGATTAAAATCACAATCAAAAGATACGCTTCGATGAAAATTAATGCAAAATGTAATTATACCAAAAGAAAATGAATTCCTATTTCCTTCATTATTCCTGATTAGTAGTTCTTTGATACATAATTGTAATATATGAATAAATATTTATTATAGAAATTAAATATAGTATGAATTAATATTTAATAATTTAGTATTATAATTTTTTCGGATAATTTAACAAAAATTGTAAATTAGTTACTACTTTTATGACAAACATAAATTGTCAGGGGAGTCATATACTCCCCTCATATAGGCCCTAATTGTTTAGACTACCAAGAAAATTTTAGTAGGTTCCTGTAATAAATCATTTGTTGAAACTATCTGACCTTTTCAGATACAGACTGTGGCTTTTTACAAAATTTGATGTCAAATTTACCACTTTGTAGGAGTTAAAAACAAAAAACCCAGCACAGTGGGGTCGCGGCACAGTGATGACATGACATAGTTAGGTACAGTATAAATGATATCTGACAGTGATTAAAATCACTATAAAAAAAAAACGCTTCGATGCAAATCTTTATAGTGTTTAATTTTAAAAAATTGGTGGATTATTCCAAAAGCTACATGATCTGCTATTTTCTTATTAATATCTTGTTTAAGATAAAGTATGTCGAATGAAAAATGGATATAAATATTATTTCTCATTAAATAATTGTGCTGATCCATACACTTTTCAATAAGTTATAGCATTATAAAGTTAAAAATGTAAAAAATAAATCAAGAATTTTCACATAAAAATAGCATTTGGTAGCCATTTTCAACGTGAAGACAAAATAAAGTCCCAAATTTTTTTTGCCATAATAAAGTACATTATATTAACATTAATTTAAGATATATATAAGAGTGTCAGACTTTCCGGAATACTTTCAAAAGTTAAGCTGAAAAAGTTAAATTTTTTGTGAAAAAGTTGTCATTTTAAATCCCCCCTGTGGGCAGGTTAAGGGTCAGATTTATAAAAAAAAATATACCAAATGATAGGTAAAGATATCAAGCATCTATAAAAAAAAATTATATTAATTTATTAATTTTTAAGAAAGTTATGGCAGTTTTAAGTAAAAAACTTTTTTCAATTTTTGAGGGTAATGTCTTCGACTAGATACAATTTATGATTTTTTGACGTATCGTAGAAAGAAATCGGTTTGGTGAGAGCTGAGAAAAAGTGGTAACAGACAGAAAAAATAAATAAATAAATAATAAAAAAAAACACATCATAGTAAAACCAATCCCTTCTCAGCTTCGCATTGAAGATAATACGACAACTCTATAGAGATAAGTTTTAATATTAAGGGCTTTATTTGCTATGAAAGTCCTATAATACTACCAAAAAAGTTCGATACGTTGAATTGCATGTACACAGAAGTGATCAAAATATTTATTGATCATATTAACACTATAGCTAAACGATGTCAAGAATTATTATGACTTCAACCCGGGAGATAATTTATTGTGTTGTACATTTTTACTTCAAAGTGTTGTGGAAAATTCGAAAACCATGATTGAACAGTTATACAATGTAATGAACTATCTTAGCAATATAGATTTTAAAATATTAACGAGTAAAAAAAAAACTTTCTCGTTACCCATAGTAGATGACATTTATACTTTTGTAGAATTTGCGACATTAAAAAGTCAACAAAGTACACAGATTTTTATCGACTCAAACGATCTAAACTCAAAAAAAGATGCTTGTGGGGTTATTTTAGATGTGAACAGTTCTATCGAAGGAAAAGGTATAAATAGTTTAGCTGTTTACAATCAAAAACCAAAGTGCTTACTTGAAGAGAATCTAAAAGACTATAAAGAGCAACAATATAAAAACATTGAATTGATCCATTATTTAAGTGAATGGCTTAACATGCATTATGTTGAAATTTCTACAAAAATCTTGGCTTTGAACAAGTTTTAGATTTATACGTGGAAGGGTAAGAAAATTTATTCGAAAACTCTATAAATTAACGTCATTTAATGTCAAATTCATTCCGTTTTTTCTGGCACTAACGATTGATTAACAAAATTCTTCTGCAATTAAAGAACCCCTTTTATGGTTTCGAATAGAATAGAACCATGTCTATTTATAAGTGTTATTTTACACATTACTAAACAAAAAGTCATATTTTCTGAGTTTCCCAATAACTGTGGCTTCTTTTAGCTATTAACTGTATAATTACTTTTATGTAATCAAAATAAAATTTTATCAATAATTTTAAGAAAACAAGTATCTATTGATAACAAAAAAATATTTAAATATTTACAAAACTGATATTAACGTTATTCACTTTACCTGTGGTATTTTTTTTCCCTAATTTTTCTTATTTATTTATAGTGAACAAAATAATGGTTTATACAAGAACTTTACGTTGGGCACCCCTCTCACATATAATTAAAAAAACTAAAAAATAATCTTATCCATCTGATGTGATCCAGTCAAAAATTTATTTTATTTATTATCCATTGTTTTTATAACAAACAAAGTAATAATGGATTCCTATTAAATTCTCAAAATTTACCCGTAAATTCTACCCTTAAAAATACATTTATGTTATAATTAACTTGATATTTTTAATGGTTAAAAAAAATTTTAAAACAAATTTTAATCTAAACATTTGATAAAAAATCATTATTTAATGAAAAAATGAGTGTCAGTATTATTAATAAATCACACTATATATTTTTTTTAGAAGTGTCAAACTTCCAGTTCATCTGTATAAAAATATTAGTCAAATAGAGGGAATCGAACTAATAAATACAATTACTAATGAAAGTGGATGGAAATCGTAGAAAAATATTAATATTGTATTTAATGATGAAGTTATAAGCGTATTCTTAGACACCCACCAGACAAATTTAATTTTCATTGTAAAAAACAACATACATTAAGATTGATCAAGTGCATTTTTACAGAAATACTGTTTAAGTATTATTAATACTTTTTTTCTTATTAGTCTTAGTAGTAATACCTTTGCCTGTGTACTCACCAGTCATAAGGGACTAAGCCAATTACCTTTCGGTAACGTGCAGGCAGTTGAGGTACAGTGCAGTACTAAATTTATAAAAAGAATATTTTTGAAGTGCGCTATAACCGTCGACAAGCCAGTTCTAGAACTAGTAGTCCGGGTATAGTCCATTATAAAATATATAGTTCGTAAGGTAGGAAACTACATCTTGGAAATATCCTCTGCGTGTGTAACATAAAGGACTATACCAATTACCTCTTGGTAACGTGTAGACACTCGGCGTAAAGGATAGTAAAAGGCGTTTTGAAATAATATTTAATATACATTAACGAGGTTAACTGTGTCCGCGCCAGCTAAGGCTTTACGCTGAGAAACGCTGGGCCACCACAGTTTTGTTGATTATATTTTGAATATTGATAGACATATTCTTATAATTATTAAAATATATATATATATTAATATATTAATTAATTAAAAATAATATATATATATAAAAAAAGGCAAAAAAAAGGTTACAGTCAATTTAAACCCTTCAACGTTCATATTTTGAATATTTAACATTATCACAGTGTGTGTTCATAATTATAATCTAGTGATTTCTATCTTTTTAAAATGTTCTATTTTATGTATTACCCTAACTTATGTGTCATGTTACTTTGAAAATGTACTACATACAAGATAATTACATTAACACTGTGATGATGTTATAAATATTGTTAAAACGAGTAAATAATTAAAGAATGTTATATTACTATTCTTTTGAAATAAAAATATTATCAGACTTATAAACTTCCGAAGAATTTTTTTTTGAATATTTAATAGGCACAAATTTGAAAAATGTCCATAATTCAAATTTTTATTGATGTAATCAAGTATGCATTTAAAAACTATAACATCATTTATTAGCTATTATTGAAATAAATAAATTTGTACATTTTCAAAGCTATTTTTATTATACTCTATGATTTGTTAAATATTTTTATTATTCATTTAAACGTTATTCTATGTTGACGCCTATTATTTAAAAAAATATCCATTTGCATTGTTGTTGCAGCAGCGTGTGTATAATGTTTGTATAAAAAAAAATAATATGTTTTGGAGGTCAGGGTCGAGGTAACTCGGGAAGAATAAAATGCGTAAAACATTACGAACCCTTTAATTTACGACTGAGCCCCCCGAAGGTGGTCCCTAAGGTGAGGCGCAAGGGCAATGGAAACTCGTTAGCAGGGCGTTTACCGGTTGAAAGATTCTGAGTATCTACTCTCTGGAACCAATACAAATCACTTTGCGATTTAATTAAACGTTTCCTATCGTGTTACACAGTCGCTTGCGAATTATAATTAACGTTTTTTGTTTTATTTTATTCTCCATTAAGGTAATATATGTGACTCATTTTTGATTTTAATTATTCTGAAACTGTGAGACGACGTCGTTCAGCATGTATTGTAGTCGTCGGGGAAAAAACAACATTTCGTTTATAGTTTACTGTCACAGACGTCACTTCACTGGGAGAGAGTGTTAATGTCATGTAGTATGACCCAGCGGTGTTATTATTAATCTTTTTTTTAGAAAAACGTCAATTAATATCATTCCGTTTTATTACCATAAATTGTTTAAGTGGCATTTCCAATCACGTTATTTTTATGAAATAGTTTAGCGTGTTAGAAAGACTACTTGAAATATAATAACGTTTAATGAATTGGATCATTTAGTTTAGACTAATAAGAAATATGAATATCATTGTATTTAAAACACTGTATTTTTCATTTTCTCATTTTTTGTACATAAAACATTAAAACAAAATATCAAAGTTAAATATGTTATTATAATTGTCTTAGATTTATGTAGATATTTTAAGTTACTTATTAATTCATTACTTAAGAGTATTTAATGGATGTTATATCCATATTTAGTATTACAACGATATATTTGAAGCACTAGTCGAGATTATTAATTTAAAGAAGAGAACTACAAAAGGGAATTGTCATGGCGATCAATCAAACCACTAGGTAACTAATTTTTAAACGGAAGAGTTTCTCGATTGCGGTCGATTTAGGAAAGTTGTAAATTCTTGTTTAAAAAATGTTAACTGGTAATTTCTTGCCTGCGAATAATTACACAACGTAACTAAAGCCACTTTTAATTACATACAAAATTACTTTAAAAATAAAACTTAATATTTTTTTATTTTTAATTTTGGGGTACACAATTCGGTTTTAGAAAAAATTAAATAAAACAACTAATAAACACCAAATTTGAATTTGTATAATATATCTATTTTTGCGATAAGTTTCAAGTGCCAATTAGCAGCGATTTACGTTCACAATTTTTGCACTATATGACATCCATCAATATTCAAATAATGTTTTTGTAATATAAACTATAAAATAAAAAATTTCTTCATCGTAACATCATAAAAAGTATTTTATAATTTCTATTTTTTGGGCATGTACTATACATTTTTAGTATTGACAAATAAACTCAACAGGTGTCATTTATCCTAATAAGTATAATACATAAAATAATGTCTTTCGTACATACCTAAGTATTTTTTATAGTAGAATGCTATAGTAAGATCAGAATTTAAAAAAATCAACTATTTGATCAATTATAGTAAAAAAAAAATCATTGAATATAGTCTAATTTTAGCTAAACTATTGATTGTAGCGAAAAACTAATCATCATCAAAAAAACCTACAAGAAACAATAAAAACAATTCCATAAACATTCCACAACCCAAATTTTGTCGAATAGTGTTGTCAAAAAGTCAATGAAGCCTGTTGTTATTATGATTGAAGAACATTTATTACTATGTTCTTACCACTTAAATTACACATGTTTTATTTCTATTGTAATTATATGTTATAATAAATTGCAGCAATTTAAACACAGAAAATTGGTCGCCAGGACAAATTTTTCTTTTTTTTTGAACTTTCAATTTGATATACACATTATTTTTTATCTTATTAAAAAATAATAATTATAAAAATATAAACATTATTAGTTGTTAAGATTTTTCACTATAAAATTTTCATTATAAAAAAAAAAGTTACTTAAAAAGCATAATAAAAAAGTAAAATAATCAGAGTATATTACACTTAAATATATATTTATGAAATTTGTTAAAAGAAATAAAGATTGTCAAAACAAACAATGGTAATATATTTTGATTAAATTTAATAAGTTAATTCGTAAAAAAAAAAAAAATCAATATAAAATAAATAATAATAATACGAATAAATATTAAGCAACAATTAAGTCATTTGGACGGATTTATAATTCAGTTATCCTAGTTAAAACAATATTAATAGTTTCATACACATTTCTAACAAAAATAAAAAAAAACATTAATATATAATTTTAATTTTAATAAACTTAAGGTGTGATGTGAGCATAACTTGATGAATAATTTACACTACTATATAAATCTGATCCAATAGGAGAATGATTACCCTTAAAGAAAAATATTTTTAATATATATAAATCAAGACATTAACATTAAATAAATTACCTGTAAGAATCTATTAAGTTCTTCTTGAGTGTCGAAAATCATTACCATAAATGGAGAACCTGGTACATGTTCACCTGCCCATTTTACTTCAACACGATAATCACCCGGTTCTGTTGGATCAAACTTACAAAGTATAGTTCTGTCTTTTTGGTTTTCACGTTGCATCTCAACTCGAAAAGCTCCTAATAAGGAATAATAATTGCTTTAACAAAATATATTCAATTATTAATATTGTAAAAAATTACCTTTTGGTCCTCTGACTCTGACAGTTAATTGACCAGCACCAGCTCCACGTGTGTCACAAATAAAACGACTCTGAAATATTGCAAGAACACCATGTTCGATTCCTGGACCATAAACACGAACTTTACTGGCATCAGGCGCACCACTAACTCTTACAGTAAAAGGACTTCCTGGAACATCCTCACCTAAAAATGTTTGATGTATTAGTTCTATGATTAAATTGATCTTAACAGTCAAATATTAGGTATATAGTTTTTACCAGCATATTTTACTGTCAGAGTGTGTCTCCCTGATTCTTGTGGTTTAACATTCAATGTAAATGTGCCATCACCATGATCATACAATTCACAATAAGCAACTTTATGAGGTCCTATGCAATGGGCACTTAACTCACCTAATAATGTTTTGTAAATTTAAATTTGTGAAGTAAATTTAAATATTCTATTTTACTGTTTACCTGGTCCAGCTCTTCGTGTATCAATAAAACTTCTAATATCTTTGCCAACTGTACCAATACCAAGACCATCTCCAGTACATAAAACTTTACTGGCATCACATACTCCAGTCACATTGACTTTCATTGGACATCCTTTCACTTGCCTAGAAATAACAAAATATTTTAGACAGAGCTGATAATGTTTTGTCCAGGTAAATAAAATGGACGGACAAAATTGGATTAAGTTAAATTTTTATAATTATTTGGGCAAAATCATAATTTAATAAAAAAGTAAATAATAAAACAAACAATTTATCATTTCAAAACTTAATTGAGTTTGGTTCATTCTTTTTTATTTAACTTTTTACCTTTAAAATTTAACATTTTTTAATGATTTATTTTATTAACTGTCTTCAATTTTGTCTTGATTGATCATTAAAATTTACTAAGTTTTGTCCATTTTATCTGATTTTGGATAGTCTCCAGGACAAAATAACAATCCTGATTTTAGAACTAGTATCTAAAAATTTTAAATAAATTTATTTATTATAAAATATAACATACCTATGACCCCACAGAACATTCAACAAATAAGCTCCAGGATGTACAGGAGAATAAGTAGCACGGTACAGATTCTCTCCCATTTGTTCAATATTAACATTTATTTCATTTCTTGAACCAGCCAAAGTCACCATTGGGTTTCCTTAAAAATGTAATTTAATATAAAAAAAACTGTTAAATTGTTTTCATTTACTCATATATCATATAAAATTTAACAAACCTGGTCCAGCTTGAGAACCATCGATTGTAAACTCTGATTGTTGTCCACAAATAGCAGAGTTTAATCCACTGCCAGAAAGTAATACTCGAACACCAGCAGCACCACTCTCGACTAAAACTGGATATGGTGAATTAGGCAATGGAAAACCCGCATAACTTAAATACAAAACATGTGGGCCTGATACATGTGGTGTTAGTACACATTTAACTGTGTTTTCAGAACAATCCATTATAGTAGGAGCTATTGTCCCTCCTTGACTTTCTAAACGACCTTCAAGTTCACCTGTAAAATTTATTATTATGGTTAAATATGATGATGTTGTTAAAAAAACATTTTTTTCTAAATATCAACTATAATCTTTAACTAACCCGGTCCAGCAGATGAAGTATCAAAAGTTAATGTTGATGGCGTATTAACACCTATAACTAAACGGTTATTTAACTGTGATTCTCCAACTGTAATTACTTTATTTATATCAACAACTCTACATCTACATGGTGAACCTTCTACATGTTTTCCATTCCATACAATACTGATTTCACAAATTCCTATGTTATTAGGTGTAAAAGATACTTCATACTCTCCTTCATTTCCATTAGGTGACTGACTAACTGTTACAGCTACATTATTTCCATTGATATTAGCAGTCACTTTTGGTGCAGTGTGATATGCAGTTCCAAGAGCAGCGACAAAAAATCGAGCAGTTACATCTTTTAAAGCTTTAAAAAGGCCAGACCCCCAAACTCTAGGTACTCCTATATCTGCTACATTAATTTTTAAAGGAGATTCAGCAATGTGATGTTTTCCATATTGAATATTGAAAATATAATCTCCCGCCGAAGTAGGATATATTTGAACAACATCAATATCTTCACTATAATTTTTTAAATCTATCGGAATATCTTCATTATCTGGTCCAAGACAAGTAATTGTAAAATCAGCTAAACCAGCGTTCCTGCGTAATACTGAAATAATCATAAAATATACACTATGAAAAATAAAATTAGTATTAGCATACAAATAAATGAATTACATTTAAACATAGCAGGTCTATACATAACTGCACTATTTTTTTCTGGTAAATCAATAACTTTAACATTTTTTGTATCGTATACATTACATGTGAATGGTGATCCCTTAAGATGTTTACCAAAATGAGTAACATCAATATTATGTTGTCCTAACATGAAAATATAGATATATTTAATTATAAGTATATAAAATGTATAGTATATTATGCAATAATATTACTTACCAACTTTAGAAGGAGTAAACTCAACAATCAAGTTCATACCATTTTTATGCTGATAGCATTGTGTTGGAACAGCACTATGTTGTGGTCCAGTAATGACAACATCAAATTCGTGACTTGATTTACCAGCACTGTCAATAGTAAAAGACGACATTTTATTAATAACTCCCTGGTATAATCCATGACCTGTAGCACGAAGTTCATTAGAAGTAGATGGATTTTGTTCACGAACATTTACTGTGAAAGGAGATCCGTGAATATTGAAACTATTATATTTTATATGAACTTGGTGTGGTATAGGAATGATAGGTTGATATAGGACTTGATGAATACCATTGGATTCTACATCGGTAGTTTTGAGCTTTACATCATGACCAGCAGCTTTGATAGTAACTGATAATTGTCCTTTTCCAGCATTTCTAGTATCCACTAATGGTAATAGTAATTAAAAAAAAAACTGTTTTAAATATAAGAATTTAAAAAACATTAAAATAATTGGGCAACTTAAAAGCTACAAGATTAAAATTTTAATAAAAATTGATATCAAAACAAATAATATACAGTTTTGAGAAAAAAAAATGTTAACAATTTAATAGACTATTAATATAATCAAAAATCATTGAAATTAAATACAAAAATGGAAAATTGTATTACCTTTAAATGAAGAAGGTTTATTACAAATAGTTTCACTTGGACCATTTATAATAACTGATGCTGGATCAATAACTTGTACTTTCCATGGATGTTTAGCAATAGGTTGATTTCTATGAAGTATAGTAACTGTATATAAACCAACTGCATTAGGACGATAAGATGCTCGATATAAACCACTATCATGTTTTTGTAAATTTACAGGTAACAATTTATTTTCAGGACCTAGATATTACAAGAAAACAAAACTGACTTTAAAATAAAAGTTTGCGAGTTAAAGATGTGATAAATAATTACCTAAAACATTTACAGCTATAGAGCCATGATCAGCTATATGAGGATTAATATCAAAACGAGCTGGATACCCTAATTTAACCCATTGTAAGCCCTCGCCATATGCTGTTATTGATGATGCAGAAGCTCCTTTTTTTACACCATTCAAATCTAATACATCACAGCTATATGGGCTACCTATAAAAATAGTTTGAGAATTTTAATTCAAAGAAAAATACATAACTTAGAATGTTTCTAGATTTAAAAATAAATACCTGGTACAATTTCATCGTTAAATGTTATGTTAACAAAATGAGGTAGAGGATAATGAGGTACAAAAGTAACATCATATAATCCTCTTGAGCAAGCAACTACTTCCGCTTTAACTGTACCATGCTGGCTGCTGACCACTAATTCCAAAGTACCTTCACCCGCTTCTGTTGCATCAACACTGAATGTTACAGGTTTACCAGCCTAATCAAAATTATAACAAAAGGTTATCACAAAAAAAAATACTTATGTTAAAGTAAGTCATACTTTGGCAGTGTTAAGTCCAGTTACTTTAATATTATTTATATTGTACACATTGCAAGAAAATGGACTACCATCTACTGGTTGACCTTCAATAAAAATTTCAATAATATGTCTTCCTAAAATTTAAAAATTTAAACTATTATTTCTAAGTATAAAAAGTTATTAATTTAAAATAAACTATTAAGCAGAATTATTATTTTTTACTTAAAGTAATATATACAATCTATACGTATTAATTTTTGAATTGTTATTAACTTTTGTACAATAAGCATTTTTTATAAGTCCATTAGTTACAAAACTATAAAAAAAATTTATATGAAAAACCTGATATACTTTTTTTTTATGTCATTTATTTCTAAAAAAAGATTATAAGTTTTTTTTAACTCAATAAATGTATTGTTCATAGTTAAAAAAGTTTTTTGTATACTATAAAAATATTATAGCATGAAAATGCAAAACTTGACAAGCTTTTTGGAATAATTGACAACTAATTTATTAATGAAAAATTAAAAATATCAATACACGAATGTATATTTGAAGTGTATAGAATATATATTATCTTATAAATTATATAATCAACTCTAATATTAACAACAAATTATTCTATTAAAATATTTTTAAACTGATATATTTTTCAAAAATATTTATAAATTTATTAAAATCCATTACATTATTATAATTTATTCCTTTGTTGTACCTATTTCACTTGGAGAATAATAAGCCCCAATGAAATTACTCATAATAGTTGTCTTTACATTTACTGGAGACCCAGTTGGGGAGAAAACATTAACTTTATATTTAGTATCATTTGAAATATCTGGACTTTCAATTTTTATGTCAGCTGTCTTATTTAATGCACAATATTGAACACCTGTACCAGTAACTGCAACTTGATCGATATCCAATACACGACAGGTTAATGGAGACCCTAGAAAAATATTACAAAAGTACCAATTACAATATCAAAAAACTTATATTAATTACTTTAATATAAAAAAAAAAATTTTCAATTTTCAATTTTAATTTACCTAAAAAAATGCATAATTAAAATATTTAATATTATCTATTTTAAATTTATTTGAAGCTGAATCTCAAAATAAAATGTTTCACTATTAATATATAAAGTAATAAAATAATATGTTAAATAATAATTTATTTAAAGTAATTGGCTTGTTTGAAAAATGATCTATTAGGGATGTCCTTATAGTTTTCATAATTTTTTTCTGCGAAAAAAGAATTGAACATTTTATGATATTTTTAGATAAATATTCATTTATAGGTTTTATAATACCCATATAATTATGCTTAAGTCAATGATTCATTTCATATTATAATATATAAATATAAATGTCTACATAAGTATAATTTTCTCAAATTTGAACCGTAATGAACACCTTATATATTTCAACTTAATTAAATATAAAAACTCACCTGGTATAGGCTCTCCATTGAAACGCACACTCAAACTATGAGGTGCAGGTTCTTGTGGTTTAAAATTAACACGAAACTTAGCATTTCCTTCAGATTGAACATAGTTGGGAACATTTACCCCATTAACCGACACAATAATTTCTAAATTTCCTGCACCAGCTTCACTAGCATTGACTAAAATTTAAAAATATTATTTAAAAAAATTTTTATACAACTGAATCAATTTTTTATTACTAACTATTAAAATTCACAGATTTTCCAACAAATCCTGTATTAATATCTGTTACGCATACTTTTGAAGCATCATAAGCTTTTACTAAGAATGGGCTACCTTCAACATGAATGCCATCTACTTTAACTTCAACACTATGATCACCTAAATTATAAAAATAATGGATAAGTGATAATAACTATAGTAAAATAAAAAAACAACTTAATACTCACCAACATCAATAGGTATAAATTGTACATTATGTGTAGAAGGCTGAGTAGCTGGTGTAACAGTCACTGGTAATGAATGACGAAGTGGTGCTAAAACTTGAACCTGTGGACTACTTTCACACTGAACAGCAAAAGATGCGGTTTTACCAACAGATACTTTATCTTCATTTGCGGACCAAACAACTACTCTAGCAGCTTCAGTAACAGAGCAAGCAAATGGAGAACCTATAAATCATATGAAGTATTTATCCAAAATGGTTTTTTGTATTTCGATGAGTAAAAATTACAATCACCTTGTCCGAAAATAATTGTATGTATAAATTGAAGCTATAGAGATTTTAATAACCTACCTTATACCTATTTAAATTACAAAAACTCAATGGTAGATTAGTTAAAAATGTTATGTATGCCACTTTATAGTATTAAAATGATTATCTAATTGTGTTGATATACATCTGTGAGTGAAAATCTACAAAATCAATACCAAATACATTTTACACTCGTACTTTTGTTTTTAATCAAAGGTAATAGGAACATGGTGACACAACACAATTATTTCTACACCCAGAAACTAAGGACAACCATGTCACAAAATAATGGTCATTTAGTTAAGTAATTTTTAGTGTTTTATTCCTATTGAAGTAGATAAACATAGTTCTATTTTACATTGTTTATTTGTTATTTACAATAAGTGGACATAATGCTCCCTACACTTCATTAAATATAAAAAAAAATTTACAAGAACAAGAGGTCAACTCTATTTCATAATAAGATATGGCTTGTTTTATCTACAAAATACAGATATTTAAATCAATATGTGTTATAAAATTTATATTTATTAATTAAATAGTAGAAATTAGTAAATAATTAATACATTATTTTTACTTAACCTGGTACATCATGATTATTAAAACGTAAATTAACTGTATGAACTGTAGGCTGGCGTGGTGTAAATGATATTGCATAAGTGTGGGGTCCCTGAGCTTGAGCAGAAGTTGGTACACGACCGCCATTGACAGTTACTTCTAGATTACCTGGACCCGCTTGACTTGTTTCAACTACAAATATATGAATACTTTATTTTTAATTGAAATTTTCAATTAAACTATAAATTACCAATGAAAGTGACTTGTTGACCAACTGTTCCTTTTGGAACAGATTTCACTTTAATTGCTCTAATGTCATACACTTTGCAGCTGAAAGGTGACCCAGCTACAGGAGTTCGTAAATAATTAACTGCAATTTTATGTTCTCCAACAATTTTTGGACAGAATTCAATTTTGTATGTCTGTGAACCAGAATCTTTGACTTGGGCAGGAACGGCTGAGCCGTTGGGACCTATATAACCCTTCTTTAACGTTAGTAAAATTATCAGATATCATAGCGCATAAGCAAATATACATGCAAACTTTAAAGAGTTAGAAGTAAAAAATACCAGTTTTATGTATATATTGATAGTTAATTTTTGTTCAATTATATTTTTAGAAATATTTAACGTGCATAAAAAAAACAGCCAACACCATTTTAAACTCATATGACATAAATTAAAATATTATATTTTCTATTAAAATTATTATTTTACTTAATTAAACTGTTGGTAATGGACTAGTATTATTTTTATTTTGTTATATTTCCTAAAATGCGCAAACAATAATTGTAAAATTGAAAAAATATACATATTAATTAATTATTGAACTGGCTAATTGTTTACATCTAAATATTATTTAATTTTTACTAAATAGAGATATATGAACACATTGAATTAAATTTTTTAAATTAAAATTTCAATATAAATTGATAAATTCATTACTTATGTCATAAATCTGTTTTATTTCTAATTTCAATTTTAATGAGTTTGTTCATTTTTGAAAATATTTGGTGTGGTGGTTACAATAATAATTATGGTTTAAAATATAATATGAATTTGCTAAATAAATAAAAATTTACCCATATTTAACAAAAAAATAATTGATATGAATATATAAAATTATTGTTATATATTTTTGTATACCCATAAAAAAATTATTCAAATTAAATATAATGAAAATGAAGTTGTTATACTGGTAACATTTAATTTAAAATACCCTATAAAATTAATTGTAAAAATTAAAATAAGTATAAGTAATATATTTCAATAATCTAGCAGTTAATAATATACATAACTATGTTTAATAACTTATTAAAGTTTTTATTACACACAACTGATCTTCCACCAAATTATAGGATTAGTATTAAAGAGCAGATAGAAGAAGGTGTGTAAGTAAAAGATAGATAATCAGTAAAATGGAGGTTTGTGATATCGCCCACCTGTAAAAATAGACACAAAATTGTAGACAAGCTTCAATGGAAAATGAAAATTCATTTATTCATGCTAAGACAAATAAAATATTGAAAACACTCAACAAATTATGTAAATTTTAATAAAAACTTACCCTCAACATTGACTTCGATATCATCCAGTGATCCAGATACATTGCTCATTGTGAAATGAGAAGTACTAGAAACAGGTGCACAAGTCAGAGATGAACCGCTGACCAGTGGCAAGTCTCCTTCTACATGAGCAATAAATGGAGACCCTGTAATATATGATTTACTATATAAATATGTTATAACTAAAAACATAGAATTTCTTTAATAAACTTCAGTAAAAATACATAAATTAATAGTCTAAAAATGTTTAATTTAAATATAGCCATAATAAATAATTATTTACAATAATAACTTATCTAAATTCTTATTTATGAAATAAAATTTCATTTGAACCAAAATGTTTTTTTTTTTTTTTTTTTTTAGAAAACAATAAATTGAATATCCTAATATTATACAATTAAAATTGATCATATGTGGATAATTATTTATTAACAAAAATAGTTTATTTATAAAACTTCCACCAACCTGGGACTGATTCTTTATTAAAATGTATAGTAATAATGTGATCAGTTGGTTGGAGTGGTAAAAAACTAACAGCAAATTTAGCATTGCCTTGTGGATGAACTTGTGTAGGAATATTTGCTCCTCTGGCAGAAATAGTAATTTCCAAATTACCTTCACCAGCTTCACTAGCATCAACTAAAAACATGATTAATAATTAGTATAAAATAATATGATTACTTGATATTGCCGAATTATTACCAGTAAATTGATATGAATTTCCAACATGACCTTTTGGTACATTTCCAACTAAAACTTTGCTAGCATCATAAGCCTTGGCTACATACGGTGTACCATTAACAGGGTGACCATTATATTCCACGGATATTGAATGGGCCCCAACTTGAATTGGTGTAAATTCTGCAGTGAAACCAATATTTACGTTACCAGTGACTTTTACAGGTAATTCAGATGTTGGTCCTGAAATTAAATGCATATACTTCAATGATATATATTTTAAAATCTATTTTAATTAATAATATTTGTATTTATAATTTTAATTACCAGTTACAGATACTGATAATTCTGCAGATGCTGAATTGTCAACCATCATATGAAACTTTGCTACCTGATTAACAGGTATTAGTTCTAAACGAGATAAATTGACAGAAACACGACTAGTATCTGATACAGAACATACAAAAGGGCATCCTAAAAATGAAAAATATATTATAATAAATAAGTATTTATTTATTTTGAATAAAATTTAAATAAATTTACCTATAACAGTTTCACTGTTAAATTTAATGTCTATCATATGAGGTTTAACATGTTCTGGTGTAAAAGATACCAAACATCGTCCACCTCCAACGACAGTCACATGATTAGGTACTTCCCCTTCATTAATTGATATTTCTAATTGACCTTCACCTGCATCACTAGCATCAACTGTAATAAAAAATTATTTAATATGTTTTCATCAGGTAAAGTTAATAGATTTTTATAAACCTCTGAATTGGCATGGTTGACTAACAACAGCATCAGACACATCTGTCACCCTTATTAACGCTGAGTTATATCCTTTGGCTAATAATGAACCAGTACTAAGTTTATGACCTGCTACACTAACTTCAACCAAATGTGTTCCAACTTCAACAACCAAAAATTCAATCCTAAATACTCCATTACCACCTTCATTTACTATTTTTGCATGAACATTATGCTTTGTTGGACCTAACATAACACATTCAATAATTATAGAATAAAATGTTAAGAACATAACATAAAATAGTTATCTTACTTAACACATTAACTTGAATGTCTTCACGATGATAACCAATTGCACTTATTTGAAAAATTGCAACTGAATCAACTGGTATCAATTTAATAGCATCACCAATGACACTAAACTTTGGACTATATCCTGCACTACTCATGATTGAAACTTCCCAGGGACTCCCTACGATGAAGATAAAATAAAAATTATTTAAATTTAGTATAAAAAAAATATATCATAAATACATATTAAATTATAAGGAAAATTATTTACTCATAAGAATAAATTTAATAATTTCAAATTATGCATATACAAGGTTATTCAATTATTATGAACCACCACTTAATTAATCGAAGAAAATAAAAATAATATTAATAATTTTTTTATTTGTTTCTTTTAGTTCAATGTTTTTATCTATTTTTTAACTATAAAGTTATTGTTATGTTTATTCCTTACATATTATAAGGGTGTTAACCAAAAGTTGTCAAATGGCAATGCCCTAGTTAACTAGTTTATTTAAAAGATAAAGATCTAATTTTGAAAATAACTGGTCAAAAACAACTTTAGAAGAATATTACGAAAATTATTGAAATATTTATATCTAAGTAAGAGAAAGACTACGACCGGAAAATATTAAGTTGTATAATTAGCAGCACCCACTTTTCACTTCCAATCATTACTTTAAAATGTTAATTACTTCCTAAATACTGGTCCAAAAGTTGTTGTTGATCAGTCATTTTCTTAATTAGATCATTATCTTCTAAATAAGCTAGTTAATTAATGGTGTTGCCATTTAAGAAAATAATGTTGATACCCTTATAAAGTATGAGGGAAGAACATAAAAAAATTTTATGATTGAAAAATTGAATTAAAAGAAACAAATAAAAATATTATCTATATTTTTTGATTAAGTAGTTCATGACAAGTGAATCATTCTGTATAACTATATCTAGGGTTAAAAAACCCAGTACAATGGGGTAGTGAGATAATTTGGTCCAGTATAGATAACACTTCAATGCATATCTGTAGATAGTGTTTAATTTTAAAAAATTGGTGGATTATTCCCAAAGCTACTTGTTCTCCTATTTCCTTATTTATATTCTAATTACAAGTTTTATGATTTATAAGTGTAATATATGAATATATATAAAGAGACATGGTCTTATTTGAAAAAAAAGTATAAAATCAAATGAAAGAAGTATATAAATAGTACTTTTCATGAAAAATTGGATTGATTCACATATTTTTCAAAGTTATAGCATTATAAAGTTAAAAATGTAAAATATAAAATCGAGAATTTTAATACAAAAATAGCATACAATAGCCATTTTCATTGTGAAAACAAAATAAAGTCCAAAAGTTAATGCTGTTTTAAGGAAAAAAAATTTCAAAAATTAGCAATTTTTTAAATTTGTAATTTTTTTGAAGATTTCCCCTATTTACAGTGAACGAGAGAAATTGTTTCTATTTTTGAGGGTAATGTCTTTGAATAGATACAATTTGTTATCTTTTGACGTAATGTTGAAAGAAATCAGTTTGGTGAAAGCTGAAAAAAAGTGATAACAGAAACAAAAAAAAACATCATAGTAAAATTAATACCTTCTCAGCTTCGCATAGAAACTAAAAAAGATTATCTATAATAATGACAATTTTTTTTAAATTTCAAATAACTACTATAGAAAAACTAACAAATGTTTTGGTAATATCATCTTATTTACCCCTTAAAAATGAACTCTCATTCTACTAAAGGAAACTTAAATCATATTTCTATCCTACTTAAAAATTCTAAAGTAGTTACTTGAAAATAGAAAAAAATTTCTTTATATTTTTTTAAATAGGCTCTTCTTGATCCAAGGTACAAATATAAATGAAAATACTACTTTATATTTAACATAAATAGAATAATAATTTAATTTCAAAATATTCAATAAATTTGAATTTCAAAAGTAAACAAAATTAATTGATCATTTTCATTTCCTATTTTTTATTTACCATGCTTAAATAAAATACATATAATATATTATAAGACCACAAGAATAAACAGTTAGAATATTTGAGTTGTACTGTTTAGTTTTTATAATGAATTATTCAACATGTGTTTTGATTACAAACCCCTTATTTAAAAACATAACAGCAGATACTTAAATTGTTAGTGTCAAACTGTATAAGTTAAAAATATATATTATTTATTTTATTCTTATAAGCTTATAATAAAAAAACAATTAGAACACAATATAGTTCATATTGATAAATTTTATAAAGTTTGTTTTAGTCATCTTAAGTACATCAATGATAAATAGATATTGATATTCATTTTTAACAATAAACAATGTATATTATTTAAACATTTAGCTTTAGAGACCATAGAGGAATCACTGTACCCTTAAACAAAAAAACATTCCTGTTGTACTGTATATACATTACCACAATTGAAGTGAATTTTTACAAAATTGGTTATATAAGTAAAAGCTCAAAAAATGTTTAAAATTGATTAAGCATCAGCTTGGTCATCATTAAAGATAATTAATTATTATATAAAAATGAAAATTTAATAATACAATAGTATTTAAATTATTCATGAAAATGTACTGAATTTTTTATATAGTTTTGTAAATATTTTTAACTTCATATTATATTCAGGATAAGACAATATTAGAAATTAATAAAATTAAAAAATAAATAAATTATATAATTCATAAAAAGCTAAATTTGAATTGATATAGAAACTATAGCAATTATTTTTTTGACATGATAATGTCTTTCTTTAAATTTTGATATGATAAATATATTATTTTAATATAAAATTAACTCTTTAAATCCTAATCAAATATATGCAACTTTAGAAGTGAAAGGGTTAATGGTTTATGAATAATAAATAATTAAAAACAGTTAAATAATTTAACTCTAAATATTATTTCCTTGTAAACCAAAAAACAGAGTTAAAACAGATCACAAACTCAAATTTATGAAAAAACACTACCTAAGACTCTACTCATGATTTTAAATTCTAAAATAAAATTACAATGTTATTTTAAAATTGTCAATACAATAAAAAAGTAGTATGGCAAATAAAATCATAAGATTTACTTTACCAGAATTGTAGTATAATTTTTAATACTTCTCATAAAAATAAAACAGATTTTTTGTTATATTGAGTAATTAGTATAATTAATATATAATTATAACTCTTTTGCTTTTGGATAACTTCATAATATTTTTAAACTATTTATTTATAAAGATAAAATAAAAAGTGTAATCCATTTAAAGTGGAAATCAAAATTTGTATAGAACATTCACTAAAAAATTATGAAGGTAAAATATTAAATATTTAAATAGTATAATAGTATAATTTTACTATTTATTAAGACTCAAATAAGCAAGACTTCTCCATTTCACATTGAGCAATATAATGAACAACTTTTATAATTAATTAAACTATTATAACTAAATAATCACTGAAAAAATTAAATTATTAAATAAAAATAAAAAAAACAACACACGTACTACACCGAAACACTCTACACTAATCAAACTGACTAAAAAGGATACGGGTTACCCTAACGCCAACCTGTTCCACCTACCTGTTTGACGTGTACAAGAAAAAATAATCGATGTTAAAACACTATTGAACTAAGTTGAGAAAATACACAATGCATTTCCAAAATTATTAATATTAACGTTCTTGTGTAACACTACACAATCAAAATAGTTTAAATAATAATTGGTTTACGAGCATACTATAACACTACTTGTGTTGAATTATCTCTGTAAATGTTTTAAATTTTAAGGAAAATAATACACTATCGATGTAAGAGATTAATTACTACTATCGATATTGAAGAAAAATTCCAATTTCACAGGCGCGCCAACTGGAATGTCCTCGGGCGCCGAATTTCCCTTTAGGAATTTAAAATATGTCAACTACAGAAAAATATTTTGTCAAATAAAAATGAATATTAACAATAATTTGTCCAGTCGTCATCATGTTTTTGGCGATATATAACATTTAACTTTTATGTTAAATTAATTAAATTATTTATTCTTATTAGGCAAAGGATAAGTGTTTTCAATAAAATTAACTGTAATAAATAATCAGTGCTTGTACATTTTTATACATTCAATTAAGTTTAGAAAAAAACAATCTATGGTTTGTTAATATTATAGAAACGCACTGATGTCCAGTGGTTTGACGCGTACCGCGTGTATTGTAAAAGTGACTAAAAGGATGTTTTTACTTAACGAAATAAATTAGTCATGTTACCTAAGTTATAGAAAAAAATAATAACTTATTGATAAACTAAAAAACGAACAAAATTAAAATATGTCAAAGAGTTAAAGACTTAGAAGCCAGTGTGATCGTTATTTACTGGCTAATGATCAGATACGGTTAAAAATCTCAGTTAGTTAAAATTTTATAATCAGGTATAACTATACAACTGACATTAAAATATACATTTTGGCGATTAATTGAAATGTTCTTCAACATTATATATATCTTACTAATGGTTATTTTTTTACTTTTTACAACAATAAATTATGGTATAAGGCTTAGTGTTTAAAGTTTACTCCGTGGACTGATATTAAGTATATATATATATATATGTGGAACTACAACCAGGAGCGTCATTTGGGGAGGGTCAGGGAGTGCAACCGCACCCCTTACTTTAAAAACAGCCCAATTGGCTTGCATTAATAATGCACTAATTTTTTATACATCAATTCAAATTTTAAAATTATTGTATTATCATGGTTCAATAAACAAATATTCCGATTACAATTAATTGAGTAAACAATAAATATATCATACTAAACTATTGATATTCATACCGGACGCAAGATATTGATATTAATGTTTGTAACAGTTTTAGGTTCGATTCGAATCTGAGAAGGTATTAATTTTACCATGATGTGTTTATTTATTTATTTTTTTTTTTTTGTGTGTCTGTTATTAGTTTTTCTCAGTTCTCACTGGACCGATTTTGATGAATAATATGTCAAAAGATTACAAATCGTATTTAGGTGAACACATTATCCTCAAAAAATGAAAATATTTCCCTAGTTTCCCGTGAATGGTGAAAATCTCCCAAAAAATTATGATTATTAATCGGTAAATTTCACAATTTTTTTCATTTTTTTTTTCTAAAAATGTCCATAATCTTACATATTTTCTTTTCATTTGATATCAATTTTATGATAATCTAACCTTTTACCTTCCCACAAAGGGGGAATTCAAAATAACAACTTTTTTACAAAACTCAATTTTTCAACTTGAGTTTTAAAAATGATCCTGAAATGCTGCGTTTTTAAAACATATGTCAAATTAAACTTATGTTACGTACTACAAATTAAAAATAAAAAATTGTCCCAACGACCTGTCTTCTTAATGCAAATTGCTGCCATAGTTAAAATATATGCTATTTTTGTGTTCAAATTTTATTTTTTTTTGTTTATTTTAAAATACCTTATAAGGCTTTGCCATAGTATGTGCTAACAATTTTTATAAAAGTTGCACAAATCCAATTAACATTTAATATAAATGTTCTTCTTCTTCTTTTTCCTCGCCTTAATTCCAACTACTTGGGGTCGGCCACTCTTATCCAAAACTTCCACTTGACACGATCTTCCACATCATCTATACTAACATCAGCCGTCCCCATATCACATTCAAATTCCACACTCCTGTATGTGTCCTTTACCTTTAAATATCGGCACCACAATACTATTCCTCCATTAATTTGAAATTTTTCCTTCTAATAAAATTTTATTAAAAAGATCCTTCAATCACCTTATGCCAACACCGCCTAATATTTTCCATACTTTTACTGGCACTTCATCTGGTCCTACTGCTTTATTCGTTTTCATTGATGCCACAGCCTCCCATACCTCTTTTTCACTAATTAAATCTACTAGTCCCTCGTTAAATATAAATATAAACTTATTTTGATTATTTTACCTTTTCAAAGTTAAGAAAAATTACTTTGAATTTTTGAAAACTTGAAAATTTGTTTAAATAGTAGAACTACTATCTATCTTCCTAGTAAATAATTTTCATTTTAGACCTAACAATTGCACCACCATTTTGAACACGATACAAAATCGTAACTAAACATAAGTTATTAGCCTATATATTACCCACATAATCAATAATTTCAATATCTAAAAAAAATTTCAAAAATAATAATTACATCTGCTTAAGTTATTAAATTATATATAAATTATAAATTCAATATAAGTCATAACAAATATTTGTTAATAAACATTTTAATGTAGGTACCTGCAGAATGAATTATGCAATTATTGACCTATTTTATTTTTTTGCTAACTCGAATTGCTAATTAGTAACTGACTTAAACAATACGTACATTATACATTAGTATAATCCTCAGAAAATATCACGATCAATAATCTTACAATAAGAAATATGGGTGTTTATTATTTAACACAATTAATTTTGAATTTAAATTTATCAGTATACGTTATAAATATCAGACCTTTGTTAGAAACATATGTAATAGTATATAAGTACTTATTCAGACCAGTCGTTACTTAAAATGGTTTTTTTCAACGCAATCAAACCTACGTAAAATTAAACAACACTGGAGATTTTAAACTGTAAGTATTACCATAAACGTTGTGCTACCAATATATTACCTGCTTACTGACTTAACAAGATTTCAAATTAATAAATATTTCAATATTTTTATATTTTTATATGAAATTAAGATTAAAAGTATTATAGTAGCTAAAACTAAAAGTAAATATTACCTGGTACTTGTTCATTGTTAAATTTCATATCGACTAAATGAACAAGCGATTTGTGTGGAACAAACGATGCAAGGAATTTTTGATTACCCAAATTTCGAACAAAACTGGTAACATGACCACCGTTTACCAATATTTCCAAGTTCCCAGATCCAGCTCCAGATCCATCGACTTTTAGAAAAAACATTATAGATTAATTATATTAAAAAAATATTTTATTGTCAATTAATTAAGTAAATTATTTATTAGTTTTTTAATTACTTTCAAATTCGACGGGTTCTCCTACAACACCATTTGGTATATGTCCAACTTTAATTGCATATACATCATATGCATGACTCCTAGAAACACAACAATAAAAAAAATTACCAACGATTGTTTTACCGTGAAATTTAATGATAAGGGACACTAATTTTATGTACAAATTATATCAAATTAACTTAAATAACAATGAAATAACCATTTAATAATTAAACAATTTTTTTAAACTCTAATGTTGGCTAACAAATACGCACTTAACTGTTTTATTAGCTTAAAATAATATTAAAAGAAGTGCCTTTCTTTTCATAATACCGTTGCGAAAATTTTAACTATTGATTGTAAGCAAAATTTATGTCTGCTTAAAGATAATAGCAATTCAAAAATTTTAAAATTTATTTTATAATTTTATATAAAAAATTAATTTAGCATCTCCAAAAATTATGTTAGAATGACGTCTTTGTTATACATTTATTTTTATCACTACAATTTTATTCAAATTTGTTTTTCTAAAAATCCCAAGTCATAAATTAGTTCTACCATTTTTTTTTTACTAACTTTCCACATTTTTAAGGCTTTAAGCCAAAAATTTAACTAAAATAAAATAGCATTTTAGTTGGATAAAATATTAGTTTTAAAACCTCCGAGTTTTAAACTGAATGTGTACTGAATGTGAAAAACTCTTATTTAATACTCAGGCATTTTTGCCTGAACTACAATTTGGTAGTTCAGTAATATTGTTCAAATGACTAAAATGAATAATTCTTAGTTTATATTGAATAAAATAGATAAATGTTTGATAGTCCTGTTAATTTTATAAGAAATTTCAAAAAGGAAAATATAATATTTAAAAATAAATAAATATAAAACAACCTAAATGGTGACCCTGGTACTTTGACTCCATCGATTTTGACATCTATAGAATGTTCTCCGATTTGTTCAGCTTTAAATTGTGCTAAAACTTGACCTTGTGCAATATTTCTCGACATTCTGACAGGCATTGTTTTATTCATTGGACCTAACAACATTTTTTATTTCATAAATTTATTCATTTTAAATCGTGCAAATCGATTTACCAGTAACTGTAACGTTGATATTAGTCAATGGTTCGTCTGAATTTATAAAAACAGTAGAAGATCTATGAACTGGCATCAATTGTAAGTTATCGCCGGTAACAATTTCTACATAAACCAAAAAACAAATGATAAACTAAGATAACAAAACGAATAGATTCATATCACCCAAAAACGTACCATTTTTATATTTCGGCGGTGACACGACACTTTTTACCGGAGACACATAACTATGGTTCGGAGACAAAGAACTCGGGATGTTTAAGTGTAATGGTGATGAAAGGCTTCGAAACCCAGATTCCAAAAAATTTGTTGACTAATAATGAGTAATATTTAAATTTCTATACGTTTACAAAAAATAATAGCACTGATTTACCTTAAATGTGTTACTATGATGATTGATAGGCGAAGAAGTATACTTTGGTGATTGTAAAGGTGAAATAGGTCGAAGAAGACTGCTATTTTTGTGGTACTCGTTAGAAGAAGATGAGAAGTCTAAAATTATTGTACATAATAATAGAAAAAATGATTATAGAATGAAAAAAACGATTAAAACTCACTGTGAGACGAAGAAGAATTATGTCCATTTTGTAACTTAGTTGGAGCTGAAACAAAAAATATTTAGTTAATATTAATATATTTTAATAGTCTTATTTGATATTATTATTTTTAGTACATACTACTTCTATGCCGTTTAACTTCTTCTTTGGTACCAACTCTAAGCGGAAACGGACTTCCTAGATTATACACCACACAAAATTTAATTTTCAATATAAATAACAATATAGATATCAATATTAACTACTTACCTTTAATTGTAGCTCCATTAAAGTAAACATATATTTTATACTTGCCAGGTCTTCTTGTATGCAAAGACACATTGTATATAGAGTTACCTATATGTTCTATAGTATGTGGAAGTGATTGTTTGTCATGTACGATATCGATTTCGATCTTGCCCAAACCACCAGTACCCCTCGCGTCTAGAGTCCAATTTACTATACTTCCTGCAATAGCAGGCCGCTCTAATCCGAGCAACTAAAAAAATAATAATTAAATAAAAAATAATTCATTTTGTTTTTAAATAGACACCTCGCGCAAAAATAAGTCCAGTATTTATACATTATACATTACAATAATAATATTAATTTATAATAACTTATATTTTTACTCACTTTTATGCCGTTTGGATCAAAAACAAAACACGTATAAGGACTTCCCTGGATCAATTGACCGCGATGTTTTATTGATATAGTCCATTCACCAGGTTCGTCTGGCTGAAATGTTGTCCTGTAGGCATCTCCAGATTCTGTAACTGGACACTCTAATTGCCTACCTTCCGGACTTTCAGCAATCACTTGAATGTTTTGAACTTTAGCTCCGTTGCAATTTATCTATAAATCCCATGCATATATATGATTAAAAATATTTAATTTTCATACATCATAACTACAGTTAAAGCATTTTATATTACCAAAACTTCGACAATAGAACCGACTGCACAAGGTTCCATGCCTGTATGTTTGATTTCAGATACCTCGGGCATTGCTCTAATGAATAAGGGACAACCTTGCACCACTTCATCACCATTATAAATGGTTACCTATTAAAACACAAATATGATGTTTCATATGCCTGTAAAGTTAGAATAATGGTTGAAATACTTACCTTGTACATTCCAATAATTAGTGGTACGAATGTACACGTGCCCCCGTTGTGTTTAAGATTCAAATTGCACGGTATCACGTTGAGTTCCGGTCCAATTATTTCGACCGTCACATCCTTGGGGTCTACTTCGGAATCTAGAAAAGATACTTTGAAATTCGTCTGAAAAAAAAATCAATCATCATGATTACATTTAATACCTATGCAATGAAAAATAGTTATATTATTTGATGCCTTACGGGCTTATAAACTCTAGTGGTGTGGGTTTCGCTATGCGCCCGTACGGTATGTGATGGTTTCGTACGTGGTTTTACCCATTGGAAATTAGATACATAAGACATCATCCCTAAGTGTGATGCGTTTAAACTTGACACGTCTTTTGCCTTCAACAAAGGTTCAACGCCCAATTTTCTACCAGCATTCATGCCTACAACAAATAATTTATGCGTTGTTGATAAAAAAAGTATTGAAACTTTCAAGTTATCATTGATATGCAGTTCATACATATGCATTATTCTCATTATGGTTACCTGCGTTTAAGTTAGACTCCCAAACGGAAGGGTCATCATGAATTTCATACTTGACTGGAACTCCTAATGATTTCATTAATTCACATAAGACTACTCCGTCTTTCCAGTCAGTCTAAGTTATAATATTATACATTAAATTACTTAATAAAAAATAAAAATTATTAAGTTTCATCAAAAAGTAAACATGAATTTTTATTTAAGAGTATAAAAACTCACTGTGAAATTGGAAACTGTATGATTTTTCAACTGGCTGTTCACCCAATTCAATGTAGATCTAGTGCCGGGGCTTTTATCTTTCATGAAGTAAGAAAGATAAGTCATACCGGATAATTCATCGAGGTGTGGCGAAGCTAAGTATTCGGGTTCTAAGATCATTGGTATATTGAATCTATCTCGCGCCAGTTCCATAGCACGGCGGCAGTTATTTATACCATCATTAGGATCCAAATTTTTCCAGTGTGGAAACAATCCTGGCTCACAGTGATCAAGCAAAGATGACAAGTATACTCCAGAATTCCAGTCTGTTGTGAAGTTAGTCACGTCGCAATTTGGTAGAACGGACTATAATAATAGAAACGTATTAAAACTAAAGTAAACAGAATGAACCATAATTGATATTTGTTACCTTGAGCCAAGCTAACATTAGTTTTTTGGGAGGAAACTTTGAACGTCCTATTTGATAACGGACAATTAACGACCATATCAAACCCAAAATAAGTTTTAAATTGCCGTTAACTATATCTTCGTTTCCTAAAAATTACGAAGATTTATTATACAGTTAACTTCAACTGCTTCGCAACGAAGTAGATTCGTTAGAAAAGCTTTCAATAGTAATGTAATATAAAGTAAAAATAATTAATTATTTTTATGTCCTTAATATTATTTTTAAAATTTGTTTCGATTTTCATTTTGGAGTTATAAAAACAAATATTTTAATTCAACATTTTTTATACACCTCGTCATAATTAAATGAATATATTTTAGTACGTTATGAGCATTTCGATAAAATTGATAGTTGTTTAAATACAGCATGTGAGGTCAATACACCCACATGTTTGCCTAATGCATATTTTCAATGTATTTGTATAACACTCCCTATTTGGCGATACTGCTAACACCTGCTCGGTATTTGAACGGATACATCCGGTAAACAGTGTTTGGAATTAGTAATTATAAGGTTTTTTTATGTCATTTAAGAAATGCATACATGATGAAATCTAAAAAATCGATCAAAATATGACCATCACGTCAATAAGTCGACCTACCAATATTGACTAGTTTTACACCATCATCGGCTATTGCAGTTAGGGCTTTGGATACATTCTCCAACATGTGATGTCGGTTGTGAGGGCTGTAAGTCCATGAGGGTATTTTCTTGTTCTGTAAGTTTTCCACCAACTCGCAAAGCACACGCCCGTCGCACAAGTCTTCGGTTAAATCATTCACGCGATTCGACGGCGACACGTGTTCGTTCACCCAATTTTTGAATGTGTTCTCTTGTATGTGAATCCACTGATCTTCTTGCCCCTTGATCTGCATTTTTTTGGCGGCATGACCCTCAGGGCTTCGTGCAACGAGCCCTATATGGGATATTCGCGGTGCCGCGGTATCAGTGCGCATCATATTTGGCGCGCTGTGACTGCGATACTAAGCAGAGAGAGTGAACAAATATGGGTGGGTCCACTATAATATTGTCTGACTGTTTGAAATGGAAAGTAAATGTCTCCCACCACAAATACTTACACGATCGCTGTGTGAACAACAGGTAGCTAGCGCAAATGGTATTATTATTACTATTTTTTTGTTAGACATCACAATTAATAACCCCTTCCATACTCCACACATAACAATAGCTTATTCTGTTTTTTTTATGTAAAAATACATAAATATTTCACTTGGGGTTCCAAGTAATTAGATTTTCTATTACGGATGACTAGGTACCACGTACATGATATGAAGGATAATCACAATATAAAAAACATGAGTTATAAAAATATATGTACTATAGGAGTATTTTTTTTTTAACATAAAAAATTGCAACTATAATTAAAGCGACCAAATGTTCCTGAACGTAGTATTTGTGGTTATACAGAATTGTCTGTCAGTCAATAGACTTAATAGAATTAAACTTGTTCAATGAGTTGTAAGCGCGTTGGGCAATTAACTTAATTACACTCATTTGTAATGATTCAAACGTGTAGTATAGTAGGCTGTTTTATTTTTTGTTATGTGATGAAGAGACTTTAATGATGGGCGTACACTTTTGTTACTCAGTTAAAAAAATTCTATAAAAGGTAAAATCTTAAATAAACTAAATTGGGTAATCCGGTGATCTAAAATGAATTGTTGATTGTAATTTATTGTAAAAAAATATTTCTCTTGAGAAGGTATTACGTTACCTATTCAAAATATCAAAATATTTAAAAACAATATTAATGTAACTGCTTTTGTAATTTTTATTAAACCCAAAGCTTTGGAATTTTATTAAAAAAACCACATTTAAAATTATTAACTTTTCATCGTCTAAATTTCAAAACAATTAATTCCAATGAATAACACAATAATCGTTAATTATTAACGAGTCAAAGTTAGTCTGAAAAAAAAACAGTGATAGTAATGTAAACAAATCTAAATAATATTTCGAAAAATTCGTTATTGACTACATTGTTAACTATAAAAACATTAGTTGGCCCTGAAATAAGATGTACACAGGTACATGACCAGAGTATACATAACTAGTAATAACGGTGATAATAATAGACGTGGATAACCGTATTATTTACATCATTAAGTAGTATACGTTTTTTACTGGAATATTTTTTTTAATTAAAAATATTTTAGCCCATACAATACATACATGACATTAGAGATACGCGTAAGAGGATCTCTCTTCTTTCATTTTTACGAAAAAAATATTATTTTTTTGTAATATAAATTATACGCGTTACGATGTACACTTCGAGATACATATAGTTGTACCACAGACTTTCATATAGCTTGTGAGTGCACCAAGAGTATCATAGTACTATCATAGAAATACACACATCTTCGTCGTCATGTTATTATTTTTGCGATACAAACACATAAATTTGGTTTAAAAATAAATCACATGAATAAATTACATTTTTTTCATTCAAATCATGAAAAAAAATTACAATTTTCTATTAGAGGGCTATTTAATTAATAATACAATTGGGATTCATTAGATGTCGCCTCATTACTATCATGTGTTGTTATTCAATTTTTTTCTATCATATAAAGTTTAACTACTATTTTACCGTCAGTGTTTCTTTTTGAATGTGATAATTGAATTAAAGTTAAACATACTAATATCAGTCTAAATTAGCATTTTGGATCCGTATTTCGATTTGACAATTAAACAGGTCACATAGAAAGTTTCTAGCATATATATCACCGATCATCTTTGAATTCGTAAACTCATACTACAATAGCTAATATAAAAGGATAAAAATAAAAGTCTCTGCAAGGCCATTGATGTACATGTTTATCAAATGAAAATAAATAAATCAATGAAAAAATGTTATAATTCACAAATAAGTATAAACGGTATTAACAGTAAATACTAATCAAAAATTAAATTAATAATATTAAGTTTCAACAAAAAAGGCATAGGAGATAATAAAGTATTTAAATTTTGATCAATTTTGACAAAGACCAACCAATCACCAGTAAATAAAACAATATTCACTATGCAAATTCATAGCACATAAATATCATAGAATAAATGATTAAATAAATATAATCGAAAATCATATAATGATAGTTTGCAATTTGTTCAATGATATAATACAATTAAAAGCATTTTTATAGGTATATCAATGTGGCTATAAAGGTACAAATAATATTTATTCTTATAATTTTAGAAAATATAAATAATACTAGTTATTAAAAATTCATTTTTATTAATATCGAAGTAAATAATTACTATTCAAATTAAATAATGTTATAGACAAGTAAAACAATAATATACCGTATAAGTTACTGTAACGACCAAGATGACAATTATTAAATTAGTAATTAATTATTCAATTCATGTTGATTGGCAGTTTAAATACGAATCTGAAACAAAATCAAATATTTCGTATAATAATTGAAAAATCTAAAAATAATAAAGATTTTCAATATCTATTTACTTTATTTTATATGTAACGGTTGAAGGCGTATTTAAAAAGACTATTGATCCCTTTAATAACATATTTTTTTTAACTATGATCATACAACTGGGAAATATAAGGCGAAGAAAGTATTCGTTACCAAGTAAATAAAGGGGTTTAAACAATTTTTGTGGCCGAATAAGTATTTTGATTATGGCAATAGTGTAACATTAATTGTATGTGTTACAGTTTAAAGAATATTATGTGTGTTTTTGTATTTAAAGTCCTATAATGATTGGATTTGATGATAAAATAATACTTTTAAATAAAAGAAGGAAGAAGGCGTCATAAAATTCTTTAATGACATTAAAAATGAACAGACAATGTAATGCATAGCATATATTCATTTGATATTATAAAAGTTAATACATAATGTACATGTACGTCAACAGATAAGACTCCGACACAAAAGTGTTAAAATTGGCTAACGACCAAATGATGAATGAATAATATTGCCTTTATTTAAGACAGGTGTAAAATTAAACGATTTTCATATATACTGTATGTATTACATGTAATTATTAACAATTTAAAAAACAAGTAATAAGGGTTACAAATCTTCATGGAAAATTATTTAACAATGTATTTAACAATGTAATAATAACAATGTTTTATTATTTGAGTCAAGAATAACAAAAGTGAAGTTCTTGGATAATTTTGTGAAAACTACTTCCACCTTATTTTTTTATCCTTTGTAAATTAAAAAATATATATTTTTATATATAAATTTTATATACAAATATTATATACAAATTTACTACACCACATCAAAGATATAAATAATGGACATGTGCGAGTAGCATACGTCCACTTTTTTCAAAGTATTAAGTCGGTCTTGTTACTTCCCTTTAATTATATACCGTGTTAAAATATTTGGTTTTCAATTTATAGCAAGTTATTTATTTTTCATTAGTAAAAATAGTAATTATTTATATTTAAAGGCTGATGAAAATAAAAGTTTAGTAAGTATATGATTTTAGTATTTTATATATAATGTGATCATCAAAGTTTAAATTTTACCTTTACATTAATAAACACCGAAGGGAATAGTGGAACACAATTAATTATAGCTATTCAAAAAGTAGACTTGGTTAATCCGTTAAGTCAATATAAAAATACATTATTCATAATTTTCAATAGGAACTGAGTGGTTCAATTGTAATTTAAATTATAGCAAATTTTATTTTATGTTCTATAAATGTTTCATAAGTATTTGGTGGAGATGTTTTCCTTGAGTTTTCTAAAGAATCAATTTACTAAGCGTCGATTAAATTAAATGTAACTTTTGCATTTAGAATAATTCTCGGGTATATTGTAAATACTAAAAGTTACAATAACACATGTACAGCGAATGTAATTATAAAGGCTTATTACCTAAATTTCAAAGGTTTAAAAAAACCTTGACCCAAAATTTTTTTTTTTTGTTTACTTAATATTATCGGCTATTTAATTGACGCAACCGAATTCATCCTATCAGAAGGTTCAACATTTTTTAAGACGGGTAGACGCCATAGGCAAATGTTTTACAAGCAATAAAAACCCACCTATTAAACGACTACCGATTCTAAGTAACACACAACTGACAGCCGACATCGATCCCGAGGTCAATTAACATTTAGCTAACAAAAACATAACTCATAATGACTTCTGATAGATTTATACTTTAATGTTGTGCAAACGTAGAAGTTAGCATTAACGAAACGCTGTGGCTACTTAATCTAATAAATTATTAATAAATATTTTTTGAGGATAGTGTTCCGTTAAAAAGCATTATACGAATTATTATTATTATCTATATTAATTATATTACTTAATAAATTAAGTACGAAATTAACATATTAACGAGAAAATTGAATTCCTTGCTAGTAATGTACACACATATGACTTATCAGTGCCACACTACCCCCAACTCTCGCGAATCGATATAAAAATTAACCTTGGGTAAATGAAGGCAAACTGGTTTTGTCGAAAACGTTTAGACAGTGCTCATCTTGATGTCACCAACAACAAATTACCAGTTTATTTCAACTACTCGACCGTCCAACATGTTGTTTAAAATTTGTTGGTTCGTCAGCCTTTTGGCACTCTGTCACGCTAACATTCGCAACAAAAGAATAGTCGGTGGATACCCGGCGTTGATACCAGAAAATCCCTATGGAGGAAAACCATCAGACAACGCAGACAAACCAACTACCAACCGGCTACCGCCTCAACCGGTTCCTACTACGTCCAACAACATAGTGTTCATACAAGACGAGTATAGGAACGCTGAAGTTGTCGGTGCCGAAGAGCCTGACGGAACTTGTGCATTTAAGGGCATTAGGTACGCTCAACCGCCTGTAGGAAAGCTAAGATTCCAGGTAAACAGTTTACAATTTTATTATTTCATTACAATTAAAAATCAAAATCTTATAATGTTGAAAAAAAAATTGAAATTGAAATATGTAATTAGCGTCCCGTTTTGGTTCACCCCGACGGCAAATACGAAGCGGTCAAGTATGGTTCCCCTTGCCCACAATTGAGTATTGATGGTAATGGATTGGTTGGGAGTGAGGATTGTCTATTTCTGAACGTGTTCACGCCATCGGTAAATAATAATGTTTTTATTTAGATACTTCATAATTGAAATGATTAATTTTATAATATTCATTTTAATAATAAAAAAAATAATAAATTTTTTAGAACAAAAATGAAAAAATCCATCCGGTACTAGTATGGATTCACGGAGGAGGATTTCATAGTGGCTCAGCTTTACAATATGTACCATCGTCTTTGGTAAAGAAAGATATCATAGTGGTAACAGTACAATACAGATTGGGCTCATTGGGTAAGTTAAAATTTTTAAATAATAATTACATGAATAAGCAAAATGATCAAAGACGCGATAATAATTATAAATTGTTTGGCTCTTGAAAATGTCATCAGAACATTATTACTATTCTATTGACAATCAATAGTTTCTATTATTTTTTATACTATAAATGTTAAAACAAGTTTTAATTCAAATAAATTGGTTAGTCGAATTATGGAAGTTATTAGATTAGGTATCAATATATTATACATTACTCACTAGCTATTAATGTAAAATAGAGTTTGAACTTTGAACAATGCATTCAATCGGGGTTATTCCTAATTTGATATTAAATAAGAACACATTTAATAAATAATTATCTATTTATAGTCGATTATTTTAGTAATAAAATAAAACAGTGGCATAAAATCGGGTGTGCAAGGTGTAATAGTATCAGTTTTCTGCGCCTGAGAAAAGTGTATTCTTAATGTATATTTTCAATAATTTAACATTGTTCGCATAAAAAATAATTAGCTCTTGCCATAGAAAAATCTGCAATTCAGTGATGGTTATGAATAACTAATTATTTCTAAGCATAAAGCCTTAATAAAGTTATACTCAAACATTTTAGCAGCTCCAAAATTTTAACTGATTGCGCACATATGACTTTCTTCAATATTTTTAAATAATGTACATATTTTAAGCAGAATACAACTGTTTTTTTTTGTAAATATTATGTGCATTTTTATGATAATAACCGTATCTATTGCGTGTTAAATACTTTTTTATTATAATACTTAAGAAAGGCACGGACCAAGGAGGGACGAATCTCTCGCTCCCCCCCTTTATAACTGCTATTGCTGTAATTAAAATTTAAATACTTAAAGCTTTAATTACAAAATAACCTATTAATATTAATGGAATATTTTCTATTTTATTTAAATTTAAAAAGAAGAATTTTTTCTATTTCGAGAAAGATCGCTAAAAACAATATTTGACGTTTTTGATTTTTTTTTTCTTTTTGATACATCTAATTTGAATAAGTTAACTCTTTTGAGAAATAACACAAAAAAACTATTTAAAATACAAAATTTTTGTAATAAAAATATTTAAGTGAAGATAGTAATATTTGACAGTAAATAATTTTACCATAAGAAAATATTTTATGCATATTAATGTCTAAAAATTTCAATAAATCATAACTTAAATTATTTATGTTTTTCATTAAAAAAATTTAATTGAAAAATGTATAATATTTAGTATATAACTATTTCTACAAAGTTATTTTCACCGAAAAGTGAAGCATATATTTACTTTACATATTTATTAAGTTTTGATATCAGTACAAAAAATAATAAGTTGAATCTCAAAAAAACAATATTAGTTTGTTTTTTTAATAACGTCTCGATTTCATAAGATAACAGATTTCATTACAGTTTTCTCTTAAATTAGTTGAATTTAATTTTTGTAGGTTGGCTCACGAGTAATATAAGAGAACTGCCTGGAAATGTAGGTCTATTTGATATGCGTGCTGCTGTTAAATGGGTTAAAGATTACATTAGTTACTTCAATGGAGATCCAGAAAGAATAGTAATAGCTGGACAAGGTAGTGGTGCTAGTGCCGCTACTTTGTTGTCTATGTCAGAATTTACTAAAGGTAATATAAATTAAGATTACAACAATTCTTAGAAAATCAAATAATTTATACTAATATTACTTTATAAATAAAGATATGTTTAGTGGAGTTTTTGCACTGAGTGGTAGTCCTGTATCACCTTTTGCAGTTGATCCAAAGCCCAAAACCACTTATTTAAATGTTACTAGCTTAATGGGCTGTAAACAAGAAAATGGGTTAGAAGCAGTGAAATGCTTACAAATGTTGCCACTAAAAGATATTATTAACTCTGATTTTAAATATGAGGTATTTATTATTATTATTATTGTTGGGGTCAGATAGATTAGATAAAATATAAAAACTTTTATCTTTTCTAGAATAAAAAACTATCTGATGAAGGTTTCTTATCTGGATTATCAAATGTACTTGGAGCTGGACCCTCAGTTGAAGGGAAAAATGATGGTCGCTTTTTGCCTTTCTTCCTTCTGGACTCACCACTTAATTTATTAAAAAAAAATTTACCTAAAATACCAATGCTAACAGGTGTTAATAAGCAAGAAACAAAATCTGGACTATTAGGTATGATGAAAGTAATTAAGTATTAAAAATTCTTTTAATACAGTTTAATAAAACTAATTATAGGTAAATTTAAGAGGGAAGTTCAAGATCAGCTGGCTAAATTCCCAGATTATGTTACTAAAGTCATGCCTGGTAAAGTACTTCAATCTAATTCAGGTAAATAATTTTTTATAGATTTTTTCAATCTACATTCAAATGTATTCCATTAAAAATTTGTATTGCTGCATATATTATGATAACAAAAAAACACATCTACCCTATCTCATTATTTTAAATGAGTTAAAAGTACAATTAAGTAAAATAACAGCTACTACTTATTTCTTTTTGTGTACAATTAAAAAATAAAGTTGAGGGTGGTCAAATGAATACTATCATATTTTTAAAGGTTTATACAAGAATGGAGATGTTAACAGTGCTCTAAAGTCATTATTTGAAAATGGTAATTATTTAAAACTGATTTCATCTTCTTTTGGCGGAGCTTTAAAAGACTTTGTAAAAGTTATTCAAGTATGTAATAAATTTAGTAATAAACTTATTTGACTTTAAATGTATTATTTTTTTAGGGTACAACTGATGCCATGTTCAATTTACCTGCATTTTTAACATCTATGTTATGGTCAAAACGTGGCTCTACTTATTTTTACAGCTTTGAATATAAATCAAAATGTTTAAAAGCTCCTGGAAAATGGTTTTTACCAAATATTTTAGGACCTGCAGATTCTATAAATGATTGTAAAGGAAATACTGTAAATAAGAATGATGAAGACTCAGGTAATTTAATAGTTTCATAAACATTTTTAAACATAAATTATTTACAATTTACATCATTCAATAGGAGAGCCAGGCCATGGTGATGAGTTAATATACCTTTATGATGTACGAAGTATTGAAGGAAAACCTATTCAAGGAGCTGAACTAAAAGATCCTAAAGATATAGAAATGAGAGATAATTTTACATCATTAGTAGCAAATTTTGTTCATTCTGGGTAATTATTACAAGAGCAAAAACATTATAATATTGATTGTTTTATGAATGATATAATTTATATTATAGAAAACCAAGCTTATCCAAACTGGATGATGAATGGCCATCATTTACATCTGCTAAACAATCTGAATATGTAATACTCAGTGAAAATTCTCGAATTGAGAAAAAATTTAGATTTTGTGAAGTAGGATTATGGGCAGGTGTTCCAGACATACTTCAATCATCAACTTGTAATTTTCCTGGAATTAAAGATATATTGAAAACAGTACCTAATTTACTAAATGAAGGTGTTTTGGGAGATGTCAAAGAAAATACAATGAATATATTTAGAAATCCTATAGGCGCAGTTGGGAATGTTTTGAAACCACCACAACTGAACAATTTAACGCCTAACATTGCAAAACCTAACCTAGGAGTACCATCTTTATTAGGAGGTTTAACAGGTAATCCCACAAATCAAAAGAATGGAGATGAAAATCAAAAGCCTACACAAAGACCTGCTATACCAAACTTGTTTGGCAAAAAAAAAAAATGAAGAAATAGAAACCTTGAACTCTAACTTGAAAAGCAATGACATCTATTTGTGTTGTTTAGGATATTTTTGTGTTACAACAATTTATTACTATTTTATTCCTATAATAATTTTTGACTTTTAATTTTTTTATATATAAATATAATAAACATTATATAAAAAGTAAATTTACTTATTTTTTATTTTTCTTTAAATCTTCAAACCGATTTAAAAGGTCATCAAAATTAGTTTCTCCATCATCTTCATTATCGTCATCATCACCATTATCCTTAATATCACCTGTTGGTATATCTGTAGGTACGCTCGGAAGGTCTGGTAAGTTTGAAAAACCAAGTCCTTTATTAGGCATTAATGGGTTGGGTTTAGAATTATTTTGTGGAACATTGTTTGAAGAACGAGGTTTTGGTATAGGTGGGTCCTTGACTACTGGTGTTGGTGCACTAGCTCCAGATGGTGGAATATCAAAATCTAATGGTGTAGAATCTAGCATTGAGCTCATGTTTGACATGTTCTATAGTAAAAAGAATGATAAAATAAATTTTTTTTTTGTCATGGGTTTTAGTTTAACTTACAGGATAACTAATTGGTGGCATTTGCATGGGTGGTATAATTGGAATAGGTTGTTGAGGAAAACCAATAAATCCAGTTGGTCGTTGAGCTCCATCTACAGTGTTTTGATTATCAAATAAAATAGAATCAATACTGTGTGATTGTTCATATTCTTGCATAACCTAAAAATAATTTATTAATTCATTTTTTTTTTTTTAAATTTTCTTATAAATAAAACAAGAAAAAGTACTTGTAAATCAGGTTCATAAGGTACACGATAATTTTTAGATATTTCAATTAAATACTTTTCTACTAAGATTTTTGGAGGAGGTCTTAAACTCAGTTTATGCTTAAGTTTTTGTGAGACTGTATCCATATTTTCTGACCTGCAAGACTAAAAAAAAACTTAAAAATTTATGTTCAATAAACATTTTTTTAATAATAACTTATAAAAACTACCTCAGCATATTTTTTGCCAAACTTCTGAGTTAACTGATCTGAAATAACTTTCATTTCACTAATATCTGCTTGAATATGTGGAGATACCCATAACAAACTTGATACTGATTCTTGTAAAGTTGAATCTAAAGTTCTAAGAAAATTAATCTATTATTTTAATTGATAGTCAACAATACAGAACAAACTATTTTTATCAGTGGTGCTTATGTAAAATCTTATTTCACAAAAAATGTATTTTTACTCGGACACTTCTACAAACAAACTTTTAATGTTTTTTCTTTAATTCATTACTATAAATTGAATATCTTTTTAATTCTGGATAAATTACTTACATTAATCTGAAAAATCATATATCTTAAGGTATATATTTCTATTAAAATACAAGTACAAACAAAAACATATTATTGATTTAAATATATATTTATATTAAAATTTATGATAATAATATTAGAAAACCAACTACATGAATTATAATAAATGTTATAATCCTTCACTACCAACAACAAAAAATAATTTTTTTTTACATTGGCTCTCCTATAAAAATTAAATTTGTGTTGTAACCTACAATAATAGCCATTAGAAAAGTTCAATGATAAAATAAAATTTTTCAAATTAAATTGTTTTTTATTAAAATCTAACTTAAATATAAAGTTATTAATTATTTTTGTCATTAATTTTACAAATAGAAATTTAGACAGAGATTATACTTAGAATTTTTATTAATTTTAAATAACTACAAATGAAAACTTTGATAAAATAATATACAACAAAGACGAAATAAAAAAAGTTTGGCTAGAATATTCATTAAATTTTTAGTTACTTAGATTGCTGAAGTAGGCCAAATCTCGATAATAATGAATCACAGTACATCTCAACAATTTCTAGAGCTTCAACAAAGTAATCTTCTCGAATGATATGTTCGACTCGTATTTTAGCTCGTTCACTCTTACCAGCAGCAACCATATCAGCAATCTCTTTTCTCGATTTTTGAGCAAGCTCGGCCTTCTTTTTCTCTAAAAGCTTTAAACGATTCAATGCTAATCTAAGATTAGTTTTAAGCTTCGAGTAGTTTGCATCTGACGAAAACATTTTTTATAAATTAGTAAAATATTTAAAATACTTAACAAAACCTCACAAAAGTATGAGACTATAATGATTTAATTTAAAAAATTTCAAAAAAAATTATTGACATTATTTCATAATCAGTTTATAATATATAATTTCATCATTTGTAATGAATAATGACTGAGTCATTATCATTACTTGAAACTTGATTTGTTATTTATATTTAAAAACACTGATAACAATAACAACTAGTAGATAACATGAAAATGAGACAGTTAATAATGATAATATAAAAGTAAAAAAACAGTTCCAACTTTAACATTACTAAAAATAAAATTTTTAAACTAATGAATTTGAAAATAATATTCTATTAGAATATACCAGAAAAGTTAATTTAAACTAATTAGAATTAAAAATTTGGGATGGCGTCATTGCTATGACTGATTAATACCGCGAACATTCATTTGTCAGGGATCTATTAATACGAATTACATTGCAGAATACTAAAATCTTATAATTACAATCATAATATGATAATATTATTATTTTTATATTATTTATTATCAACAATATACCCACAAAAAACAGTTCTGTGGTCTACTGAACACATACTGCTTCATACAAAAAAACCCAGCACAGGGGGGTCGCGGGACAGTGGTGACGTGGCATAGATGGATCAAGTATAATGATATCTGACAGTGATTAAAATCACTATCAAAAAAAAACGCTTCGATGCAAATCTTTAGATAGTGTTTAATTTTAAAAAATTGGTGGATTATTCCAAAAGCTACATGATCTGCTAGTTCATTATTAATATCCTAATTAAGATAAAGTATGTCGAATTAAAAAGGGATTATTAAAAAATATTATTTCTTATAAAAAAATAATGTTGATCCATACACTTTTAACTATGTCATAGCATTATAAAGTTAAAAATGTAAAAAATAAAATCGAGAATTTTCACATAATAATAGCATTTGGTAGCCATTTTCACCGTGAAGATAAAATAAAGTCCGAAATTTTTTTTTTTCATAATAAAGTATATTACATTAACTTTAATTTAAGATATATATAAAAGTGTCAGACTTTCCGGAACACTTTCAAAATTTAAGTTGAAAAAGTCAATTTTTTGTGAAAAAGTTGTCATTTTGAATCCCCCCCTGTAGGCAGGTAAAAAGTCAGATTTATAAAAAAAATATACCAAATGATAGGTAAAGACATCATGCATCTACAAAAAAAAGAATTATATTGATCCATACATCTTTCAAGAAGTTATAGCATTATAAAGTTAAAAATATAAAAAAGAATTTTTTTACAAAAATCGTATTTTTTTTATTAAGTTTAATGTCTGTTTTCACCATGAAGATAAAATAAAGTCCGAAATTTTTTTTTACCATGATAAAGTATATTACATTAGCTTTAATTTAAGATATATATAAAAGTGTCAGACCTTCTGGAACATTTTCAAAAGTTAAGTTGAAAAAGTTAATTTTTTGTAAAAAAGTTATCATTTTAAATCCCCCCCTGTAGACAGTTAAAGGATCAGATATAACAAAAAAATATACCAAATGAAAGGTAATGATATTATGCATCTATATAAAAAAAAATTATATTGATATGTTTATTTTTGAAAAAGTTATGACACTTTCAAGTAAAAAAAATTTCGAAAATTTTGAAAATTAGCGATTTTTAAATTTGTAATTTTTTTGGAGGTTTCCCCCATTTACGGGGAACGAGGGAATTTTTTTCAATTTTTGAGGGTAATGTCTTCGACTAGATACGATTTGTGATCTTTTGACGTATCATTGAAAGAAATTGGTTCGGTGAGAGCTGAGAAAAAGTGGTAACAGACACAAAAAAAAAA